AGAGAGAGAGAGAGAGAGAGAGAGAGAGAGAGAGAGAGAGAGAGAGAGAGAGAGAGAGAGAGAGAGAGAGAGAGAGAGACACTGAGTTCTGGTGGTGTGGTGTGGCAGAGAACAGTGAGAATGCCCATTGGTGAGGGATCATCACATGCTGAGGTGGCCACGTGAGGATTGCTTGGAGTAGACAGGGGAGAAGCAACATGAACAACCTATCTATTGTCACTATTGCAGGGTAGCATACCAGCCAACCGCCAACAGATCTGCAGCCAACCAGTCGGCAGCAACCCATCGGATGAGTTAAAAAAAAAAACGGAAGGCAGGGCCATCCTGCACATGGCCCAACCACTCCAAGACAGCTACGAAAAAGCTTGTTTCTGGGTGTTAGGGTTTTTTTTAGGGGGGGTGGGGGAGGGGTGAAGGGTTATGGGCAAACTCCTAAGGCGAGCAGATGTTGCTTGTCATTCGGTCTGCATGAGGTGGCAGTGGTTAAAACGGCGACCCTATTCACCTTTCAGATCTTGATTTTATGAAGACTTCGCAGCTGACAGTTAAAAAGTAATCCCGTGCGGGTATCTCTTCTTTTTTTTTTTTTTTGTTGAGAAAATTCTGCCCGGCGCCCACGTCAACAGATAGGAGTGATGACAAGAGCATGCACGCCTTCCTACCCGTCTTGCAGGGGCCCCCATCTCATATATCCTATCCGTTGATTTAAAAACTCCGTAAGAAAGGAGAGTAGCTTGAGACACGGCATGTCTGTTGTCAATCATGCTGTATTCGGTGGTAGGGGATACCAAAGCATCTGTGCTTTGACCGTTCATATCTTGACTTGCTAAAGTTTTCAACCCTGCGATTACGAAGTAAAATTTGTGCGATGTCATGGACAACAGGGGGCAAAGCCCTTATCAACAGCAACTCAAGCAGTATTCAGCTGAATTGGGCATGTGAGGGCTCTATAGAAGTGGAATTTCAAGGCATAAAAGGTCAATGGAAAAGATGGCATAAAACTTGATAAAAGGTTAATGGAAAAGATGGCATAAAACTTGATAAAAGGTTAATGGAAAAGATGGCATAAAACTTGATAAAAGGTTAATGGAACAGATGTGAAAGTGCTGTATGAAACAGAAAAGTTATCTTTGAAAACACGGGAGCGCAGGAGGAGGAGGAGGAGGAGGAGGAGGAGGAGGAGACGAGAAACTTGACTGTGGCCCCCGACCGGTAGACTGTGCGGTCGGCTGATCGGGAGCCAACCGTCTGGGGGAGTGGCCGACAGTGGGCAATGCAAGTCTGCAGTATTGATTGTAATTCGGGGGTTGTTTGTAGGGTTATTATTTATGTAATTAATTAAGTCTCTTCACAGCAGTGCATCACATTGTACGTAACGTTTTTTTTTTCTTCTTAATCTCAACATCTGTTATGAATTGCACACTTTGTATCTGGCAAAAGTTGTTTTCCTTTGGTGCTTCTGTAAGCACTTGCTACGGTTGGGGGTTTCGTTAGATTTCGTTAGGACTCTGTTGTGGATTTTTTTTCTTCGTTTTTTGCATTGAGAAAATTTGAGATAGTGTATACTACTATACTGAGACGCTTTTGTGAATACAGGTAGAAGCAGACATAGGTGCTTCGGGGTCTTTTTCTTTCCTTTTTTACTCCTTTCTTCTACAGGGGAAGGGCTCCGCCTGCTGGGTGAGATTCGATTACAGGATTACAAAGACTACATGCATGGTACACGTCGATTGCTGGGTGCGGCTGGAGACCTTGCGCCACCTGAATTCGTAACACTCTTCATCCTATTTTTAGTATTTTGTATTTTTTTTTTTTTAAATATATATTTTTTACTCTATTACATCTTTTGCTTTCATAATTTTCGTTTTTTTTTCTTTCACAAAAGCGGTACTGAGGGTAAAGTACTACAACGCAGAGGTCAGTGCGTAGTACGTGTGTACAGAACTTTAAAAAAAAAAAAATTAAAAAATTTTGTATGCGTGAGGCACACTGCTTCACAGGGTTGACCACCAGTCCATCCAAAGTTACTCTTCATTTGTTTTTTCAACTTTTTTGTATACAAATACCGCCCCTGGGCCTAGAGCAGCGGAGGAATTACTACTTCAGTTCCCAAAATGTCTGTGGGAGGCCCAGACTTCTCAATAATACAGAGGTTCGTACCGGTACTGCGACAGGTACAGTGTTGATTTTTCCAACTGTCGGAGACGTTCACTTTTAGGCTCTGCAAAATGCTTTTTTTTTTCTTTTTTTTTTTTGGTTCGCCAATTTAGCTTTTCGGATGGACTGGTGGTTTAAGGAACTGCCTAAACCCTAAACCCATGATCCTCTCTTCTTCAGCCCACCATCCTGTCGTGTTTATGCATTGAGCTCCGCATGCCTAGTGCAATGACTGGGCTCGAGCCTATTCCAATGAACCGGGCTTCAGTCAGTGTTGTCATTCATTGGCATGCCTATTCCAATGACTGGGCTTGGGCCTATTCCAATGAACCGGGCACTTCAGTCAGTGTTGTCATTAATTGGCATGCCTATTCCAATGACCGGGCTCGAGCTTATTCCAATGAACCGCCCTTCAGTCAGTGCTGTCATTCATTGTGAACATGTGGAATTCAATGCATAACGATGATGTGAGCTTCTGAAGTCCGGTTCATTGGAACAGGCTCGAGCCCAGTCAAGCGAATACTATACCAAAAACAAAAGAAACAATTCATGAAAGAAGGGATAACAACAGGATCTTGCGCTCACCGCCATATGTGCCCTAAGAAAAGGATCCTGCACTCACAGCTGCGTGGGAAGACAGTGAAGAGCATGATGTGACTTGAACTCACCCAACAAACTCTGTACGGGGTAGGTTGTCTGCCAGATCAGCCGCCGCACTCCCGACCGCAAGCTTAACTGCTGCATGAGCTGCCTGGAAAACGCGCACACAGGTACACACTCAGTACATCCTCTCTCCCTCCAAGCACCAGTTAGAAGGAGGGGGCACACTGCACAACACATTGTGACCTCCACAAACACTCTCAGGAGAGTTGCCTACCTAACCCCTTCTTCCCTCGAACATAAGGCTCTACCATCGTAAACATACACAAGCTCTCTGTCCTCCTCCAATGCAGCCATGATGATAAGCCATTGTGTGTTCTCAACCGAAGAAGGTAGTTAAGCGTCGTTGAAGGGTTACCTATTTACTTAAGGCCCTAAGCTTCGACCACGACTTAACTAACGCCAGTCAGCATTACCTGTGACTGCTTCCTCTGTATCTCCATCTCAGCCTCAAAACCCTCCATGTCCACCTCCACTCCACGCTCCAATGCAACCTACACATTAAGATAACAACAACAACAACAACAACAACAACAACAACGAAAAAGCACGCGTAAACATGGCACACTGCACTCACTGCCTTTGATTTTTTTTTATTATTATTAATATTATTATTATTATTTTAATTAATGAACTCACTCCAAAGATCAAGTAACAAGTATCTTCAGCCAAAAAGAGTACAGCTCAATAGACGCCAATACACAACTGCGCCTGAACTTTTCTTTTGCAAGAAGACCAGCCGGCCTCACCTTTTCTTCATTTTTTTTGCACCTCCTCGTCGCCCTCGGGTGCATCTCATTGGGCGGGATGACAACGATTCCAAAAAAAAAAAAAAGACTTACTTTCAAAAGGGGATCATCCACTTCATGTCCAGGGCTAAGGTTGCATGAGCTCACACTGAGTGGAACGACAGGCATAAAGACGGCTGTCGAAAAACCCAAAATTCACAAGGAAGAAGAAGAAGGGGAAAAAAAAAAAAAACGGTATCCAGTCCGCACCAGTCGGCTGGAAGGGGGAAAAAAAAAAAAACGGTATCCAGTCCGCACCAGTCGGCTGGTGCTCCCCCGAACTGAAAAAGGGATCAATTTGGTTCAATCCTGATTTCTTTGAAAGACCAAACAAGGAATTGCGGGAGCAGGAGGAACCATCACGTGAGCGGCGGGTGGGCGGAAACAAAGGAAAAGATAAAGAAAAAGGAGAGAGTCCCCTGAGAGACGCGACTAGGAAAAGAGAGCTCTCTTCAACAGGGTAAGTGCGAGTGCCGATCGACTGCTTGCAACGTACGAGCACGTTTGAAGTTGCCTGACCGTCGGAACTCCAACGTTCAAACTCGTTCGCAATTCTTCTACGGGAAGATTAGCACCGCTCCTCCGCCGCCCAAATAACGATGACATGCACACATCCAGAAATGCTCCAAAAACAGAGAAAAAATCGAGAAATACTCCCCCAAAAAAGAAAGAAAAAGCACTGTAAAATTTTAAAGTTAACTTTTTTTTTTTTTTTAAAGACATCTCTTGAACAAGATGAGCGTGAGAAGGGCATGACTATTTGTGAACTTATATAGAAGTTTGAACCTCGAGGTCATACGACAGTCAGAACTGGTTTGTTTGTTTGCTTGTTTCTTTGTTTGTTTGTTTGTTTGTTTGTTTGTTTGTTCTAAATAAAGGAAATAGCTTGATTTTATTATATGAGCAAAAGGAGGCCGGGAATCGCTCTCCACATCTCAACCCGGGATACTGGGGTCGCCAATACTGGGCCCAGCTTAGGCTCATACTGGAAAAGGGGTCCAGTGTCCCACCCAGGCTTTCAAAATCCCAACATGCTATTCCAGAACGAAAGCACAAGCTGCCAAAGGAGTTTAGGGAATAAACCCTAAGCCCTGCTATCTTCCTATCCTTGAAATGTAGTTCCCGTCTTCTAGGGTTTTGGCATGTTTAGGTGCTCACACAGCTGCTCCAATCAGGCCTTCAGCCAGTAGTTGGTTAATGAGTTTAAGTCCCCAGATTTTGGCTTAAGGGCAACCAATGAATGCTGTTCAAAGTCCACTTTTGTTGAAACTTGTTGTCATGGGAAAGGATGATGGGCCTGCTTCCCATTCCCAGCACGCGATGCTGCCGACGCATAAGTTGGAACATCTTCTGCTAAAATTACAGAGTCTTCAGCCTTGCTAACCACCTGTGACACCCCAGGGAATCGAAGTGTCACCCTTGGACTTAAAGTCTTAAACCACCACTCCAACGACGCCAGCACTGTTCATTTTTCTTGTCTACAAGTGCCAGGGCCAAAATCTACAGTGCCCCGGCCCGGTGCCACAAGCACTTTTCCTCAGGGCGGCACTGTAGATCTTAGGCTCGGGAAAATGCAGTTTTTGGTTTGTCAAAATAGGTCCAGATGGAGCGCCGGTTTAAGGGCTGAGTTGCTTAATCCGCCACTACCTTTCACAGTGATGTACCATTTTGAGAATATATAACCTATACCGCATCTTTTGGGCGCTTTCAAAGGCCAGGTCCAACGGCGGCCGCCGCCGTTGATAAATTCAATCGGCGGTCGTTTTCGGGTTTACCAGCCTCCGAAAGTCGTGCCGCCTCGTCGGGCCTCGCCCGCAGCCGATGTATGTGAAAGGCAGTCGCGGCTTAACAGCCGACATCGACCGACTGCTGTGTGTGGCGTTGCGCGGGTGTCATATGCTGCTGTGTGTTTTGGGGTGTTGAAGCTGCTACTGATGCTTGCATCTTTCATGCCTACAAAAAAAAAAAGTTTCAAACGGTGACAATCCATTTGCAGTTTGAAAGTCGAACACTCGAATCCCTGATTTGGGTAACGATTTCAGTCGGTTTTGCATCCTGAAGCGGTCATCAACCAAACCTGGCGGCGATTAATCCAATCACATGATCACACACATGTATGCGTAGGCGGGCCAAGCAGCAGATGTGAGATCAATCATCAATGCCAATAATGGATGAGCTTCAAATTTCAATCAATGGGTGAGAAGCGGCTATGGATGCTGATCAAGGAGGTTTGAGCGCAAGCAAGTCGCTACAGAGGACACTCAACTCACATCATGATGCAAAAACCCTGCCAAGTACATGACACAAGGAATCTTATTAAGGACATTAAAAAAAGCAATACTTGCGAGTTGCAACACACAACAGGCACACAACCACACTGCCTTGGTGTGCTCGCACCACGCTTGTGTGCAGCGCTTTTGAGCGCAGTGTACAGCACACAGCGCTCCGCACGAGTGTGCCACAGGTAAGCAAAGTCTGTCCCTCAGAGACATCTGTGAATGTCTAGGCTACCAGCCGGGCTGCCCGGGTCACCTTGTTTTCACGGGCGGCCCGGCTGTGCAAGGACCAAGGAAGGTCCCAGCAAAAAAAAAAAAAAAAAAAAAAACCAGAAAATATTAAAAAAAACAAGTTCAAGAAAATGTTTTATGCAGAAAAATAAACTAAACAACTTTTTTTTTTTTCTTCAAGAAAAACTCTGAAAAAGGGGTTTACAAATTATAATCCATTTATTATTTCATCACAGGCTGGGAAACGGGCCCAGCGTCCCTCACATCAATAATCACGGCCTGCGGGGATGAGCCAGGCTCTCCGGCCAGGCTTAACCCCACCGCAACTGAGGACCACAGTTATCACCGTTGCACGCTCCCATATGACACACAGCCTATGACAAACCACAGGAATGGCAAAAAAACTATCTTCATAAATCGTAAGGTATTCACCATGGTAACCCCGGACCTGGACACCGGACACTTCCGGACTGTCTTCCGGACCAGTGTCTGGACCGGGCCGGACTGTCCGGTGATCCGGACATTACCAGACACCAGGACATCACCGGACCAGTACCAGGGGTGCACAAATGTCCGGACCAAAAAAAAAAAAGGGGGCACAGGGGTGTTGGCACGCACTTACCTGCTCTGCACTTTGTAGTTCAGGCAGCAGAGCACGTGTGTTGCATCAAATCAACAAGCACATTTAACTAGCAGACATGCAGAGTTGCAAACAGCACAAAGCAGGCACAAGACTAAAGAAACAGAGATTTTTTTTGTTGAAAAAACTATGATTAACTTTGAACTTTGAACTTTGGATTTAGTAATTTAAGTTCATAACTTCATACACAACTTAAAAGTTCAAACTTTGCAGTTCAATTCAGAACGTCAGAGTCTTCAGACTGGCAGCACTGTCAGTGCTCTCTCTCTCTCTCTCTCTCTCTCTCTCTCTCTCTCTCTCTCTCTCTCTCTCTCTCT